ACCCAAGAACCCAAGTGAGCACTTGGGTGATTGGCAGGCCCTCATGGGTTGGGCTTTTTTCTAAACCCGGCCGCGGGCAATATAGGTGGGGTTGCTTTCGCGCCGAGCCGATAGTGGACGACTCGCCCTATGAACTTGACTTCACGATATCGTCACAGTATAGTAAATAAAGAGCACGGGCCTATTATGTCAAGGTGATGAAGTGACGTAACCAATCATCGCATGGTGCCTCTAGGTCCGGGCAATCAAGATGTTGGGGAAGCCGTTTTTTCAAACAGAAGGTATCATTATACCAGTATACTACAATGGCTCTCTCACAATGCGCCTTTGAAGTCATTTTCTCATAAAACAAGATGGAACCAATTCCAAAAAAGAATGAATAAATCCTAATAAACTCTGACACGAAAAAGGAAAATGACGGAACGGATCGCGACGACAGAATGGTAGCTACCAAGCAAGGCCCTCCTTTTTCATAGCAGAGCAATCCACCGACGAGCAGAACCCGATGTCCTTCTCGCTAACCTCGGCGTTCCCTGGGAGTGTCTGTCGAGCAGGCCATATCTCCCGCTGGGCCTTCTTTTCTTGCTTGTGGTGAGCCGTCACGAGATCACGCACCAGCTTCTGGAAGAACAGGGGGCCTTGCTCCATCGTTGGATGCAGTTCTCCATTGACGAACACGCCAGCTTTGATGTTCTTGTGTGCGTTGGTGCACAGGTATTTGTCCTCCGACATGATTCGCTTGTAGATATCGTTGATCACTTGGAACTCTTCGTCGGTCGAATACTTGTTTCGGTAGACTTCGTAGTACATGACCGACGTGTTGGGACCTTTGGGGATGAATCGTTGCAGGAAGAAGAAGTGCGGCCTCGAAAGATGTCAGCAACATGTCCTATCCCAATGCGACGATAGCTATACTTACGAGGCATTCATAGAAGCATTGGGGAAATAAAATGTGGCCGATACGTTGAAACCCTTTGCGATCTGTTCTGCAGTTGGGTTGCCGAGGTGTTGAATGTACGCATTTTCCGTCACGACTTTGTAAGCGTCGAGATCCGCAATACTTGGGATATCAGGGTGTGTAGTCGGGCAATGATAACACTCGTTGTAGTTGTCTCCCAATAGTTTCCAGTTATACTCCCCCTCCATTTCCCAGGTGTGGTCAAATTGGTAGTCGTCAAAGTTATAAGCCTTGAACCTAGCCTGCTTGTCGATGTTCTTGTAGTCGTCCCCCCATGGTGTGCTTGGCTTCTCCGCGGACTCCATGTTTACCCAAATAAACCCATTCGTGTCGATATGAACATGAATAGGAAACAGACCATTCTGGGTCTTATCGAATCCCTTGACGTCTTGGTAATCCGGTGCTTTAGTCAGTTTACCGTTAAGGCTATAAGACCAGTTGTGGTATTTGCAGGCAAGAATGCTGTTGTTGCCTTTGTCTTTTGTTACAACTGGGAAGGCCCGGTGTCTGCAAACGTTGTGAAACGCGTTAATAGCTCCAGTGCGGTCCTTGGCGATAACGAAGTCAAAGCCGGCGACTTCGTATCGTAGCCAGTCTCCTGGGTTGGGAAGCCTTAGTTTATGCGTGGTAAGGAGCCATTTCTTGGAGAAAATTGCTCGTCTCTCAAGCTCGTACATTTCTTGGGAGAGGTACCAGGACGCTGGTAGAGCTCTGACGGCCTCAACCCCCTCCTCCTTGGTCTTGGAGCGCCATTTCCAGGTAGAGAAACTTGATAGGTATGATAGTACTATAGCAACTAGAGATGCAGATAGGGTCAAGAGAAGAAACTTGGGTGAGTAGTATACAGCGATCTCAGACATAGTGGCTAGCACATATTAGCTTAGGGGTATACTGTTATGAAGGGAAAGATAGGGGGGCGAGCGAAGTGATCATTACCATACGGAAATCGCTTCCTATGTATAGGCAACTCACATTCTCGACGCTATCATGATTAAGTCAATATCATTCCCTTGCTCACAGTACTATCTAACCCACCCATCACATTCATTTAGCAAATCACGATCGAGGAGCCATATTAGATATCACAGTAATACTCAATGTGGTTGAGATATTAATCACATGACCGGTGGTTAAGGCTATCTAACCGACCTCGAAGACCTACCACCAGGCGGTAGAGGCTTTCCAAGATACGCTCACGTGATCGGCATTGAAGAAGTGTGCCCATTCATGTTTTGTTTGTGTTATTCTTCGGTATGTGATTGCGTGTACAGTATGGGGAGTGGTACTACACTAAGGAAATCTGCTCATCAGGCAACGTAGGGTTACTTTCAGGCAAAGAAGATCTCATAGTACTATATCCAAATATCAGAGATATAACAGACACTTGAATATGAGACTTGAGAATCTCACAACCTGTTAATTAGACAGCTAATGATGCCATGACATGACTCTAGTTTATTAAATTGTTGTTATTACGTAAGTATGAGATACGACGTCAAAGGTAGACTTTCAGCCAGCCTCATCTCTCATTGCTTTGTAGATGTCCCTTATCCTGCCATTGTCTAAGTACCAGAACATGTGAGCTTAGCGCTAGCAACCTACAGGCATAACCATACCAAGATCTTCACTACCATGTTGGTATGTATCAATGGTAGCATCAAAGCTTGTGAATGCGCCTACGTGGACATCGGCGACAGAACTATAGTCGGAGGTAAAATCCCGCTCCCATCTCTATAAGCCACGCCTGACATTTCAAATAAGAAATAACCTGTTTGTCAACCTACGTGGCGAGGGGACGGTTTGCTGTTCATGTGTTACGAGGTTCCAGGCCCAAGCCGCTCCACGGAGTGTTACCCCCGGATGTTATTCATGTTCTAGGCCACGGTCATGGCTGGGTCACTCCCACTCATGGCTTAGTCATAGGGGTGTATAAAATTACGGCATTATTCTGCGTTGCTACGCTTAACTAGTAAACTTTACTAATTATTATATTTTCAATAGCCACAGATACATTTGCCTTCAAGATGTAGATTGTTTTCGATACAAGCAGATCAAGCAAGACGTATGCATGGTTCAAAGTATACAAGAAGTCAACGGAAAGTAATGTTTATTGGTATCTATCTATAGCTTTGAGGTTCTTGCTGGATCTAACAGGTCCTTCATTTCTGACCTCGGCCAATCAGGGCAAAGTGAGGGGTCTGGACGATGTCTATTCCAAGCCCACTTCTCCATCAATTGCTGTGACAGCTCGCCCTCCATCATCTGTACGACATACTTTCCGATCACAGGAAAGAACTTGTAGCCGTGGAATGAGCCACAAGTTGCAATGTATAGGCCTTCCGCAGCCGAGTGTGGCGAAATGATGAAGTCCGAGCTTGTGGTGAAGGCGTCCCTTTCCAGTTATCAGTCAGCTATCCATTGCCATGGAACTACAGAACTTACCAGCAGATGCGATGTTTCTCCATCGTCCAGTGTGCAGTATTCTTACCATAGAACACCTTGTTCGCATGTTTTATGTCCTCTTTGAGCCTCCCAGAAACCTCCCACTGGGCGTAGTCCGGCTTCGAGGGCGGCGCTGAAACATAGTGACCAGGTAGCACTTCTCTGGTATTCTTGAAGATCGTCTGTCCCCACCACTTCATCTCACGGTCTGCTGTAGGTGGAAGAGAGCCGATGAAGGGGCCTGTTCCCATAGTCAGATGTGTGCGCAAAGTGATGTATCCGAAAGAATATTACCTTGTTCGGCAGTATATCCTTGAAAAGCAGTAGGCATAGAACCGAATCTTACGAACGACTCGTCGTCTAATTTAGCTAATCCTGTCGTAACACCACCCGCTACAATCCTGAATCCAGCTGCAATATCAGGTCTGCCATTGCTCACAGCGCTGTATTCTAGCAATGTCGGTGTGTAAGCCCCAGTGCAGAGGATGGTATGTGAGGCTGTCAAAACCTGTCCCTTTGTTGTTTGGACACCGGAACAACGGCCATTCTTATCCAGTTGCAAATTTGCTACTTCGGCCACCTCATATTTGACACCTAAGTCCAGGGTCTTGCGAGTAACTGCGCGCAAAGAATCTCCGGCGGCAGCCCATCCACCAGTCTGGTTGATAAGCACCTCTTTGACGCCAGTATAATCAGCGTCCTCGAATAGACCGCCGTATAACTTGCGGGCTTCATCAATAGATACTACTTTGATGTCGGTCTTCCGTCCAAGCTTCTTGTAGTTGTCGATGACCTTTTGCGCGTACTCGTCTCGGCATGTCCAGAAGATGCCGGTCTCATGGAAAAATGGCTTCCACAAGGGATCGGACTTGAAGATGTCCTGGGCCTCTAGAGCCAGTTGACAATACGCGATGTCGTCATAGTCGGCACGCACAACCTTATTCCAGTCCCATGAGGCGGCTACGCGAGAATCGGCATCAAAGGCATCCCGATCGACAAGAGTCACTGATGCGTTGGGGTACTTCTTGATGAGGTGATAGGCAGTGGACACCCCAAAAATGCCTGCTCCAACAATGATGTAAGACGCCTTCTCGGATGTCATGTTGATTGAATATGCGTTAAATTTCAAGCCACCTTGAGCAAACTGGATATATCTTCTACATTCTGTATAATAATCACACAGTCAAGTTTATATCTCTCTACTGACTTACCTGCTTGTATTCCATTGAGTTCTGGGCTCCTAGAACGTGCCGGTATCGCCCAAAAGATAAGTGAACGTGTTGTACAGTGGGGACGGAGCTTGTCTCTGTACAGCCGCTCACGTGACTCTTGACCTGCGGACAGATTGTCCCGCACGGGGATTGACTTTTCTTAGACACTGCCGCCTAGCCAGCGTGAACTCTGAAGCTAAGATCTCCGCCTAGGTAAGTACTGGGTATGTAGTGGGGTGCTTCATTAGCACCACGCACTTGCACCCAAAACCCAACCGAGACAATAGCCCCACCAAATCACCGAACCCACAATAATCTTCTCTTTGATTTTGCTATATAGACCCTGAATCGCAACACAGCTTTCACAATTGGATAACAATCAATTAATTGCCTCTATGGCGTAGTGGTAGCGCGTGTCACTTGTATTACGTAATCAATGCAAGAATATGACAAGGTCACTCGTTCGATCCGGGTTGGAGGCAGATGTTCCTATCTTTTTGATCCCTTTTTGCCCTACTACCAGTGCAGCAGACGGTACACTAATTTTGTCAACCAGTGATTAAATTTTGGTTTGCTAAAGCGGGTACTTATTGTTATATATAGTCCCCGTCTTGTAAATATGTTGCGGCAACCCTGTTTTATCAAATGGGATAGATAGTATGGGCCTCATTTCTACCTATGATCTGAGTACCTACCCCCTTATCATTCCTCTTTGCCATTGTCCTAGCGTCTAGACTAACGATAGCTCATAGAAAGCCTGATGAGAGAATGAAGTGAACTTTATCCCGTCAAACCCAGACCAATGGTTAGCAAATAACCGTAGTTAGATCTAATCATCCGGAGAGTGTCATATTTGGGTTACAGGCTTACCACGAAAGGAAATCATACATCCGTCACATGGTGCTCTTTGGCTGCTACTTAGCCTAGCACGTCGGCCGGGTTCTGAACAGCATCGACTTCATCCTGGTAAGGGTTGATAGCATCGTCACTATCCTTCAGCAAAACCATAACGTATTTCACGCCCTTAGCAATGTCCCTAGAGAGAGATTCGAGTATGAGGCGCTACATCTAGGTATTTTTAACAACGTGCCATTTACAATAAAACCATATTTTGTATAGGCGACGTAGCGTTTGAGGACTCCATGATTTCACCATCGTACGAATAGTAGATGGAGGTGGCGTTCTAGCCGTGACCGGTAACACTTATAACATCGCGAAGTAGATGGTTCGGAAGTACCTTATCTCGGGTTATATAACAGCGAAGGGAGGTCTAGCTGTGACAGTATATTGCCGAGGAATGATTACGTCGGGATTCAAATAAGCGGCTTAACCATTTGGCCATTTAGAGAGCTAAAGGCTAAATATTCATCGTGACTATGAACATTTTTTCTATTTCAGATCTCGTAACTTACCTGGCAAGTTATATGATATAGTAAAGGATATGGCCATTTCATATCCGGGTTAGCTAATGTTGTAGGGCATTTCTATGCCGAGTAAGTCCCGCGCTGTACAATTGAATCAAGTGCTAGAACGCCGCATGTATGGATATCGTGAGCTCAACGCCGAAACCCGAAACGACTTCGTGGGATAGATGAAGGTATAAGTGCCTAATTACAGATGGATTGTGATGCAAATGGTTTGAAGTGGATTGAAATAGGGTACTCGTCACTATGGAATAGCAGCGCAATCAAGATACAAGGAGGATGACTATAATTACTTGCGGGTTAATGAAAATCCTCCAGACAATATATAGTCAAGAACCATAGCCAGCGGTCAGTGTATAAGATGATTGAGCTCATTTAATCTTTAGATCGTTTCTTACGTCCAGCAGCTTAACCATCAGAAAGTTAAAAGGTTGACCGTAGTACTTTCAATGGTACTACGCTATTTATTGCTTACATGAACACGATAGCTCACGTTGGCAACCACCCACTTCAATTGAGCAGTAGAAAAGTAACATTAAAAAAACCTACTGACAAGATGAACCAACCTTTGGATGGCTAGGCAAGAACGGCAATCTGAATTCCTTCACCACTAACAGTGGCTTTCCGAGCTTTGCTTTTATCACTTCCTCGAAGAGGAACACCCAGTATACGTGTTGCTGCAACAAGACCTTCGACTAGACAAGGCTTCAACAAGGGGATAACTAAAGCCTAGTAAAGATCATTTGGGTGTATTTATTTGGCGTAAGTATCTCGCTAGTTACACTATACTAGGTAAACGGTCTGACTTTGGTAACTGCAAAGGGTTAGGAAAAGTCTGTCTAACACTTACTGAAAAGGGAACTGAATGATGTCTGAATAATAGTCAATGATACACAGTCACAGTCATCTGACGGTCTAAAGGGACTTTTCGGTCAGATATACAGCGCAGCTCACCCGCGACAGCGTACTGCTGCGCCCTCTGCAATCAATGCTGGTAAGCGGCCCGCACACACACCTCCCCGACGATGACGACGACACCAAGGTTTCAGCACCGATGCGAAATCCACGCTGCAGTGTTTTCTGGATGGCCATACGCATCGCTCAGGTTCGAGCTGATCAGTCATGCATTACTTGATACGTCGATGATTTGGGTCGCACACAAGTCGCTCAAGATCTAACCTGTTGAGTATTAGCAGTCAAGGGCGATGCGATAAACTCAGGTCCAAACATCGGGCCAAACTAAAGAGCCGACTTGTTTGACAACGAGTGTAGGAGCATAAATCAGTCGGCAAGAACTTGAAACTGGGGTAGACAGGCGCAGCAATATCAAATAGTGACTGTAGTCGTAGATATTCCAGAATAAATCTACAATGAACATTTTTTTTAACAGTCAGTAAAAAGGGGGTGAAAAAGGAGGGACTAATAGAAAAAGGGTTGGGGGAGCCGGGCCTTTTCATTCCTTACTTGACTGCCTCCTTTGATGACTTTTCTGCTTAAAGGAGAACACGAACCAAGTCTCAGATTCGCAATAAAGATTAGTATCATCTAAACAGTGGCATTAAATGATAGGGCCGATAATAAAACTACGAGAAATTCAGGTACAAATTTATACTGGCAATAGTGCAGAAAATTAAGTGCCAATCAAGCAGCAGGGTGAGAGAGCAAGGCCACAACTACTGACATTAAAGGGCAAAGAATCAAAGCGACCTCCAACATCATGGTAGCCAACCCCTATTCATAGCTACATGCCTTCGTGTCAGAGATTTCGATCAGTCTACCTCCATTCAATGACTTGCCACAACTGCTCTTCAAGTAAGTAAGTTTCTCAAAAGGAAGCAGTTGCATTACGCCATCCTGTTGTGCACACGAGACTCTAGAGAAGTTTTAACTACCCCCTAATTTGTAACAGTTGCTCACTCCAGACTTTATTTCTTTACGTGAAGTATACAATAAATTCCTAAGCCAAGCCGTGCGGGATGGTGTCGACTAGTTGAGGTCGAGACTGACGCGCGAACAAACCAAGCAGCACAAAACATTCAAACATGCACAACGAGATAAAAACCCTGCCTCATGCTGCTACATATAGCCCAGACTAAAGTGTGCTTACATATCACCAACAAAAATTTTCCTACAAAAAAACAACTCAATATTTAAGCCTGGTGAGACCACACACCATACCAGCCGAGAAGATATGGTGCAGGTTTCCCTTCTCGAATATTGGTCACTGGAGGATTCGAACCCCTATTCTTCATGTTGTTTCAGCGATTAGGAGGAAATGCTCCTGAATACTGAACTGTTGGACTCCTACCAAGTAGGCCAACTTGTTGAAGGAAACAGCTTCTAATCTAGATTATGTTGTTTGCACCAGCCTCCTTGCTACCCATTGACCATTCAGTACGTCTGCAACAGTAGGTATATAAGTACCTATGTACTTCTTCCTACCTTGAGAATTTCCTCCTACAGGAGTTCTTTATGGCTCTCACGCTTATAGCATCTGGTTATCTAAAAGCGTTTGCTATTGACACTGGTCAAGTACCTAGGTACCTAGGTGAACTATGGTACTCTTTAACATGTGCTCCAACATACTTACCAGCTAGACTTCCTACAATACACAGAAGGGGCATTTAGGACCGAGTGATGCTATGATAGTTTCTCATTTGGTATTATGTTCTACTTTTGAATATAGCCCCAACGCTACAGTCTTTTTATCTTCATCCACTCACTAGTTCCGAGTCCGAGATTCAATCCATTACGTGCCCACCATGTCCTAACTGGTCTAGGGTCACCGATGGCGTCTTCGAGTGCCTCTTCGATATCACAAGTCTTGTACTCAACCCTATGGGTCCTGCCATCACCTCCAGCTTGTTCACCCCGCGCATATTGTTTCCACCATTCCAATACACTGACATGGCCCTGCTTTGTAGGTGCTACGAGGACCTGTGAGTCAAAAGAGAGCTTCTCGCCCTTCAGCTCGTGCCATGTATCTAGAACGGCCGTCTGACCATGTGCGCTTGCAATCTTGCAGACGCCCTCGCTGTAAGCGACAGGGATGCCTGAACTCTCCCACCAGCGGAGCACGGCCGTCTGTCCATGTTGAGCAGCGGTCAGGAGACTACGGCCTGGTTTTAGACCTATACTATCGTTCTTTGATGCAGCATCTTTCCACCATTCCAATACCAACAAATGCCCTTCCTTGGAGGCGGATTCGAGCGCTGCCTCCGTGTATTTCAGAGGGAGATCGGAACGTAACCACCAGTCAAGCACGTGCACGTAACCCATACGTGAAGCATTATCCAGTGCCTCAGCATCATATTCCTTTTTCAGAAACGAAGGCGAAGTATTCCACCAACTGAGGATATCCACGCGCCCGTAAATTCCAGATGCTTTATTGGGAAGGAACTTGGCGCTGAACGAGGCCCAGAACACTTTGCTCAGGTGAGTTTCAAGATATGTCAGCACGTCGGTAAGTGAGAATTTCATGACGAGTTTGACGACAAGAGAGGAAACGTAACGCAGCCCCTTCGGTGCTTCAAAGAGCTTTTGACATATGACATCCGATCCGGGGCAGGAGAGTATTAACCATTCAAGGTCGTACATGTAAACTTCGACAGGGTCCGTCAGGTTCGCCCGGTTTTTCTTCCAGTCGTTGGGTATTTCTAGTGTTGTATAAACGTTGAGTGCCGTCGCAATCTCCCAGTCGCCGACATGCTCGAAGATGAGGCTCCATATCTCAGGGGGGAGAGTCTTGGCCACTCGACGGGGGCTAATGGTATGCATGGCCTTCTTCGCGGCGACTTCTACATCATGGCCAAGGCTCATAAGCTCGGCTTGGTTCTTGATGATACCAACTAAGTCATTAAACCCATCCCATGACACCACGCGCTTCCCATGCCCGGGCCCCTCATAGTGCCAAAGTACCGGTGCCATGACCTTGATCCAGTTCCACTTCCGTTTTATCTTGCTCAGTTGCTTCTTGGTCATGGGATGCTCCCACATCTGCACCGACATGCCTGGTACCAATAGGATCTTCTTAGAGACGTCCCATGCGCGCAGAACTT